GTTGATATTTTCAGATAAGGTCAAAAGATATCAATTTCATCCTCATCTAAAATCTCACTTTACAGTGGTTCTTAAGCCACCTTGATATTCCATATATTTCTTTTAAAATATTTAGTTGTAAGCGAAAAAATGTGAAAAAGAAGAATCAATATGCTTGGTTGTCCAGAAATCAATTCAATATTAATGGTGTTCAAAAGTTTTCAATAAGTTAGTTTTATAAAAATGAAAATTTTCACAGCACTAAACCATCGACCAAATTCGTTTTTTGTTTTCACATGCGAAACGTGAATTTCGTCGAAGAGCCAAAAAAACAGTTTTGAATTTCAATCAGTTTCAAGCATTTTAATGGTTTTAAAACTTTATTCAAACATAATTACCATTCTTGGCTTGTCGTCCTGTCCTCCAACAGACGTCAAATTTGTTGACAAATAAAAAAAGCCAAACAAAAGCTAAGATGAATAATTCTTTAACTATAATATTAGTAAATAATTTTAATATAAAGATATATTAATAATACTACTGATATTTAAGATGAATATCCCAATAGCAAAAATGAATTCTGCACACAACGGTTGTTAGGAAGCCGTTACCAGGGAAACCATCTGGCATCCGACATCTGTCAAATAACTCTATGCTTATCTGCTTACAGTACGGCAACTAGAAACCGATAATCTTCTGTAATAAAGATACAGTTTAACTTCGCTATCAATGTATTTTTTTAGTAATCAATCTTTTATTGTTAAACGGATAACAGAAATCGAAAAATAGTCATACCAAATACAAATATGCTACTGCTTTACATCAACCAATGGTACTTAACAACAGCGTTTCAGTTCAAATCCTTAAATTAATTTTCATATTCTTTTCAGCCAATAAATAACAAAAAAACTCAGTATGGAGGCAGTGTATTTGCCGAATTCGCAGGCAGACTTTCAAACTCAGTTAACTATAATCGATAAACGGTTAGAACGAGCCAGGAAAAAAAGGGTTGGTCAAGATTACAAAGCTTTTTTTCCAATTAATTTGAGGCATAATATTTAATCGTTAATATTACAGGAGATACAACTCTTTCAAGATTATTTTACTTTGTAAACAGAAGAATAACTGAAAAGAAATATTTCATGAGTGCTCAAAATAAAGCTGTTACTGATGATGAAAAAATAAATCATACTAGGTTTACTTTCTCTCAAACTGCTCAAATCTGACTTTTAATAAACATATTTCTAACAACTACCAAGTAACTACCGCAAATTAGGTAACTTTAAATCTTTATTCCTTCAGGACGAGTACCTGAAGCTTCTGAAGAATAAATATCCGCAATGGACTTCCATGGAACTGCAGACACGGCGGCAACAGGTTGGTTTTATGCATGGTTTAAAGATTAATCTTGCAGACTAACTAAGTGTAAAAAGAATTCTTTTTTCCTTTTTTTTTTGTTTGAAAATATTTGAAAACTATAACTTTCACTAAAATCACCCTCAGTATCCAAAGTATTACCAACCAACATTATTGCTCGACAAACTTGAAACTGCCAAATACCACTGGGATTCGCAAAACCTCGATAAAAGGAGAAAAGTTCCTCTTCCACAATTGGAACCTTATTCAAGCATTCCTAACAGGTAAATATAAAACATTTCTCTTGAAACATCTGTAATCGTTGATAAGTGTTGGATCAGAATTTCTTTGCATAAAAATTCAGGTAATTATAAATTTTATTCAGTAAATTACTGAAACTTTTTTTTCAATTAACTATACTTGGTGAAAAAAATCACTGAATGTTTCATGCTGAAAAACAATTTCACTGCAGTGGCCCCTTATTGGGTAACGAAATCGCCGCCATAAAAAGACGCCTAAATAGAATTGCCGAAGATCTTAGAGACCTTCGAAGTCATCGTTTACACCTATCTTCTGCTGAGTTCTATGCGACTCTGGAAACTCCGAACACCTTACTGGCCAAGCATGACGGTAACGCTGAGAGGACAGATGGGTTTTCAACCTTACGAAAACTTATTGAAAGAATAGGTATCACGATAAACAATGATCTTTTGATTGTATACATAGTATACCACAAAACGCTGAATATTTTAAAATGGTGGAGAAGTTGTTATTTCAGACTGCGAAGCAGAGGTTCCCGTTGAAGAGCCAAATAGTGACGACCTTGCAACCATAAAAATAGAGGAACTGTTAAAAAAGTACAAAGACGTCACTGAAAATCCATCCTTTATTAATTCAGAATCACCAAAATCTCCAGAGGTCAAAAGTTACTTTGAGAGCGATACTTCTTCTTCTGCGGTAAACAAAGAAAAAAGTG